TACACACACACACACATATATATATGTATGTATGTATACACATACCCACAACACATATATACACACACAAATATATTGTGTTTGTGTGCGCGCATGGACATTGTTTGTAAAAATAATGCACATCTGGGATATATTCCCTTTTTCTTATTGCAGCATTTGCAAGAAACGTTATTGCCTTCTTCACATTTTTGAAAACTTAAGAGGGAACCAGGGATGATAGCCTGGACAAATGTAGGCTAATTTCTAAAGCAAGGCAAAGTAAATAATTTGGTTATCTAGCTGAGGATGTTCAGTGCTCTCTGGAAAGTGCCTTTCTAAATGCAAACTTGATCCTATCCTGGCATCTTTTTCACCATTATTATTATTCAGAATTCAGAGAGTTGAAGCTCACACAGATAAATGTGGCCAAGATCCAGAAGTGAAAGAATATCGTGAACATATATAGAAATGCTGAAAGAGATATTGCTAGTAAACACTATTTGAATATAAACACTATAGAGCCCTTCTTTGTTCAATAAGGTTTTAAATAGATGGAAACAATTGGTTACCTTGGCTTTTGGGATGAACATTTGGTTTCTTTTAAAACTTATCCTTTCATGTTATTATTTTATGCTCTTAAGTTATTTTATTAGACAGATTCCTTGCCTGTAAGCATCATCACACAGTTCTTGCTTAGTTCTGCTCTGATAGAAGTCCAAGTATATAAATAAATTGAGGGTTTTCTTGTGATAATGCCACTTCTATAAAATTGCTTGCACAATGTACTAAAGCAATTGTACGTTTGCTAAGAAGAAGATGTTTCCATTTGGCCTCATTTCAGACAAGTTGCACTGAACTCAACTTCACCCCAGTGATGGCACTGAACCCAACTTCAGAGTAATTAAAACAGTGATTTCTATGTTTCCTTGTTTCCAAAGCAGCAGCCACAAAACAAGAAGAATTCAGAAAAGCTCTATGAAAACAATGAACAACTAGCACTTTGCAGTAAATAGGAGTCAAAACTTTATTCTTATACGGTGGTTTTTTTTTTCCTCCAAAAGAGGCACCAGGTCTTATCTTTGGGGTGTGTCTTTTCCACGATTTCACCTCACGGCAGCGGCACCAACAGCCCAGCCACTTCTTCTGTGGCCAAAGGAAATGCATCTGCAGCTGAGAATGGAACTCCAGCCTGTATTTTGCCATCAGAAGCCTTCTGGAAAGGCCTCTGCAGCTGAGAACTGAGCTACGTTTTGAATCTGTATTTCAGTTTTCAACTGCAGAGGCCTTTCCAGAAGGCCTCTGATGGCAAAATACAGGTCAGCCGGGGGGGGGGGGGAATCTGGAGCTCCATTCTTAGCTGCAGAGGTATTTCCTGAAGGCCTCTGCTGGCAAAATGCAGGCCGGGGAATGCTGCAGAAGAAATGGGCTGGTGAGGTGAGGCAGGTATCGATTCATTGGAGGCCTGGCTGCAACGGTAAGCAGGTGCAGGGCACGTGGGGCAGCTCCACCCCCACCCCCACCCTATCTTGATTTTGGGCGCCTTGCCCCAAAACTAGGGCTTATTTTGGGGGTAGGGCTTATATTTGGTCCACCCCCAAAATCAAGCTAGGGCTTATTTTTTGGGTAGGTCTTACTTTTGGGGAAACAATACGTTAAACAGCCTTGTACTATATGATTAAGCCAGCTTGCATTTTTGACTGTCTTCATTTTAATGGGTTTATTACTGGTTTTATTAATTACTGACTTTTAAAACATATTGATATTTAGGCTCTATCCTTCCAAACCAACTATTGCTCAGGACACGTCCATTTTTTTTCCCCTGAAAAGGATGATTCAAGCTTATTGTTGAAAATCAACAATCTCCCTGAGATTACATCCGTAAATTGATGTCATGCTTATGATTTTATCTTTGTCAACCCCTCCCTACATCTAAAATTATTTCACTGCTTTACATACTATTAGATGAAATAAGACAATGTGAGAGACTATGGATTAACTAGGCAAGGCATTTTAAACAATGTAGATCTTACACTTGAACTGACATTTACTGCTGAAAGGTTAAGATGTCTGTTGAGGGTGATAGAAACATTCAGGATTCTGAGAACATATTGTGGCTCTTCTTATAAAATGGCTATTATGAGGAAATAACTCTATGTAAAGCACAGATTTCTACCAGGTCCTTTTTTCTGTACCGCCCTTTGCAGTCCTTCAGCTTACTTTCATCCTTTTTCTGGGTAGATGATAAATAAAGGCAAGTCTCTTTAAGTTTAGCCCCACTCTGATGACTTTACAGACATATTAATGCAGGTATTTTCATAACAATACAGAAGCAGTTTATCATTTCCTTAGTGAAGTATGTATTTTTGACCTTGCAGTCTAGTCTACAACTTTGGAATCTTTTGGAGGTTTTCCGGTGAATGCTCCAACACTGGAAGTTTTTAAGAAGAGACTGGACAGCCATTTGTCTGAAATGGTGTAGGGTTCCTGCCTGAGCAGGGGGTTGGACTCGATGACCTCCAAGGTCCCTTCCAATTTTATTATTATTATTAAGGATCATCGCACAGTCAGACAGATGTTCAGACTGGATTTGACATTTTGTCTACTTATCAAGTCCTTACCCAGGACCTGGGATAGGCAGATGTGGATGTTTGATGGTATTACAGATATCATCACAGGATGGAAGCAGTTCCTAGTAAGGCCGCCTTTTGCAATTGACTAATAGCAAATTATTATTATTATTATTATTATTATTATTATTATTATTATTATTATTATTATTATTAACTAGGTATGATTATGCTTATTTTTCTGACATAGCAAAGGTCAGTATAGTTACAAACCTGTCAGTAGATTATAGCCATCTAAAATAAAATGTTATATTTTGCATAAGTTCTCTCTTATTATTTGAATTATATTTGATTTGGACTCAGAAGAAAACTGCTTTTAAAACAGCAAACAGTCTTAGTTAATTCTCACTCATTATTTTACATCTATTTGAGAAAAAATATTTTCCACAGTATTGTTGTATTGCTAAAAGTTACCATAACTGATACATTTAATAACAAAATGTCTTTGAATGCATTACATATACAATGTACTTTCTAGCTGGATAGGACTCTCTCCTAGAAGATTGGTGAGATTTAACATAGGCAAGACTGGGAAACACTGCTCTGTACAGCAAAGATGAATCTAATTTCTGGATACCTGGACAGAGAAAAGGCAAAATAGAATGACCTGACCAAAAATAAAAAACATTCAAAGGAATGCTTAGTCTTACATTTTAAAAAAAAATCAACAAACTCTGATTTTAATGTCTTAGCATCACATCTGAATTTCAGCCAGTTGCTGAGTACCATTTTATGGTTGGGAGACTGTTACTGCATAGGTGTGCAGCTCTTGGGCTACAAATACAATTAATTATATAGACTGTTCCCATATAGATACATCGTCCACTATAGCAGGGCTGATAAGATTACTAACATCTATAGCTCAACAGCATTAGAGCTATTATTAACCTCTGACACAAGCTTTTGGTCTTATATAGGTTTTCCATACATTATTTTTTTAAATTCTCTTTTAGGAAAAACAGGAAGAAAAAGATAAAGACTCCAGTTGTCCCAGGACTTAATTCTTCTACATTCAATTTGACTTCTGCACCATTTTCAAGAGTGATAAGGAATTTTATTCCTCATCTTTTCTTTAATTATTATAACCAGAAACATTTGATAAATGGAATGTCTGACAAGCCATAATAATAAACAGCTTTCTCTGCAACTTTCTAACACTTAGTGTGCTCTATAAAGAAAATTATCTGTAATTTTTAAAAAGCACATTTCACAGCTATATAATTTTTTTGAAAAATAAAAGCTTATGCAATAAACTGATGTAGCAAAGTCCATTATTCAGATGCACTTTTCCAGACATTTAATCATAAAATAGATCTAATATTTATGTTGTTTACATGCTTGAGATTTATATTTATCAGCTTTTCATATCATGGCCCAAGAACTCAGGCCTTCCAAAGAGTTTGTATTGAGGATCATCCACAATGTCAACCAATTCAGAAACAATAGCAGTAACAATAGTCAGTAAAGAATGCTGCAGGACATATGATCTGTTCTTGCCACTCCACCCCCCTAAATAAAGTAAAGCTTTTATCTGCCACCTGAGGAAGAAGTTTCATTCAATTTTAACATTCTCCAAGATCCTGACTTTGGGAAGATTCATCTCCAGGTAAATTAAAGTCATCAATTGGAATAAGGGATGACAAGTTTAACTATTTCAGTGTTTTTAACCTAATGTCTTGGAACTACAATATATGCACAAGATCAGCTCATCTAAAGTCACCAAAGCCAGAATCAAATGCAAAAATTATAGAAAACTTTGACATAAGTTGATCTATTTATCATAGAAACATATGATGTCTTTGCACCCAAAGAACTTTTGTATCTGGAGTCTTCCTGTGTAGATAGGCAGCAGAAATGAAGATAGGTTTCTTTTTATGTTGGGGTTTTACCTGAGCAACTTTGTTCAGGTAACATTTTGGATAATATGTAAGTATGCAGTTTTATGCCAACATTCCAACATTCCTAACTAAAATGATTGTACATTATTAAGGGTCCCCACCCCAACCATTTATATTTTGTATTCAGCTGGAGGGAGTAGGTAATTCCATGTAACTTTTATTTACAGGAGTGAACATGATTTACTTCTAAGTAAATTATGATCATATTGTACTATACACACATTAACGTAGCATAAACGTGCATATAGTCTCACCTTCAACCCAATCAACAGCCAATCGACCGACCAAATAGTTATTCTCTACAAAAAGAAAATCATCAATTTCCCTTCCCAAAACACTATTCTCTGGGTTCGGTGAAGAAGGACTGAAATGATGGGGTGCCAAATCTGAGACCACGTCAAAGGGTAAGACAAGATTCCGAGGGATTCCGGATTGTTCAGCGTATGCAAGTAACTTCCGACCAATCACCCAGTTTCCTGACTCACTGTTCTCTTACCTTCTTGATTTTGCTCTCCAAATCCATGTCGGGATTCTCGGCACGGAGAACTCGAGATTCTGGGACCAACGGCAAGAGAGACGCCTTTTTCCTTCCTCCTCCACCCTTACTGATGATAGAAGGATGTGGTTAGAAAGGAAATGTGTTTCTCAAGATTGCTGCGCACCGCTCGCTCCTGGTCTCCTTTTGCATCTCTCCAGCTGCTGGGAGTAGAGTCAAACTTCCGTCTTCTGCGGCAGCGGGGAAAGAAACAAAGGAAGCCCTGCAGCCAATTAAAGCCCAGCAGCTTGCAAGTCTGACAGCCAATGGCGGGCCTTCCGAATACCTTTGCTCGGCAGGCGGGTTGGCTTTTGCCCGGGGGGCAATTCGCGTTTAATTGCGGGCGTTGAGTGAACGCAAGTCAGAGCTTTGGCAGCGGTTTGAGCCGACCGAAGTCTAGGCTTAAAGCGGGACTTTTTACAGGGTTTCTGAGTCAGTCAATGAATGGGGTGTCAGAGAAGGTCATGGCAAAGGTATTTGCTGACGCAGCCGCCCAGCTCAGCCAATTGCTGCTGGTGAATTTGACTGTGTTTTCTTTCTCATCTAAGACGAAGAAAAGACACGAACAATTTATTATTGGATTGAGGGACTGGCTGCTCTAACGGGACTATTCTTTGTTTTGAAAAACTACTTCCCCTCCTTTGGGTAATTAATGAATCTTCCCCCCCCCCCTTGAGTTTTGGACTTAGCTAGATGGCATTGCATTGCCAGATTTACAAAAGCTAAGCATTGTGGTCCACCGTTAGTAGAGTATGAGAGATACCTTGAAATCGGAAGGCTGTAGAAAATGAAAAATATCAAAAGAAGGCAATAGAAAAAAATGCATGGACATACGTATGGAGTCATCAGGAGTTGAGTTCTGTTGAAGGAGATATTTGCCTTCTCATTTTATATCCTATACTTTTGTTAATTGACTTCTTGCCTCTGACTGATTTTACGTTCAAAATAAAACCAAGCTAATCTTCAGTTGCTTGCTGTCAGCTGCCATGGCAATGGGGAGGGTGGCAATGGGCAATTGAGGGGGAAAGTGCACTGGAGGAGACAGAGTCGGTGGAAATTTTTCATGAAGTTTTCATGTAGCAGACAATTTGGACTTTGCTTATCTCTTCAAGGTCATTTCTTCAAGCTTGCAGCAGCCAGAGCCGGTACACCTGACTTTCCCAAAACACTTTTTGGCCGTTGTGTGAACTCTGGTTGCTAGTTACAGGGGTGGCGGGTGGGATTTGGGGTTTGTTACAATTTGATGCTTTGCACAGTTTTGCCTCAGATCTTGCCTGAATTAATTGCAGTCACTTCTTTCCTAATAAAATAACCTTTTCTCTAAATCTATGGAATAAAGGGTTTTCTTTCCTAGGATTTGAGTAGAACCTGAGACATTATGCAAGATCTGTTTCAATGGTCAACCCAGAGACAGCAGTCTACTGTGGGAATGAGCATCTAATGTCAACCACGGGAGTGAACTGAAGGAACCCAGGGCTATGACAGCCCCACCACCACCACACGGCGCTCGAGACTAGGTGGATTGGCGAGGGGAGCTGGACCTCAATGAGAAACCTGTAAACCCAGATAGTCACTGGATGTAGGGAAAAGGGAAGACCCCCTCTTGATGAAAATCCAGAGGATTTTGAACCTGGCCCTTCCCTAAGAGGCGATGAAGAGTCAAAGAGCCTGGGAAACTTGTGCAAGGACCAATACCCAAGTTCTCTAGGTCAACCCAAGCCTAGCCAAGGATGGAACTACTATGGTGGCACTGCACCTACTCTGCCTGGACTGGCGCTAGAGCAAGCAATACCACTACCACCAGCAATTGCTGAGCAAGTTCTCTGCCACTAGGGGCTGCCCCTTTAAGGTGTCAACCCCCAAAGGTCCCAGGGGGAGACCCAGAGATCAACCTCACCTTGGACTGACACTGTGGTGGTCATGGATGGCACAAATCCTTCCCTCCTGTGCATAAAAAAACCCTGAGGTCAGCAAAAAGCCACTTCAGACTAGACCAAATACAGCATGTTCCAAGTACGGGAAGAAGAGGCACCAAGCTGCATAATGCCAACCTACCAAGCCCAATTGCAAAGCCATGACAATTCTGGGACAGAAGGCAGAGAGAACCCAGCTCCGAGAATCTGGGAGACAGTGCTGGGAGTTGTAGAGTTCTGAGATCTGAGAGTTTGGGAGCTGTAGACCAGCTTGGGTGAGAGTGAAAACAACTATGATGATGACCCCCTGTTAAGTCAACACATGATCCTTCCCTTTCTCAGGGATCCAGGGAAGGATGTTGGTTTTACTGAACTTGGGCTGCATTAGGTGCGTGGTTAGCCCTGAGGTCATTGAAAAGCTGGGCCTGACACTCAAATGGCTGAAGGTTAGGGTTTTGCCAGCTAGACGAGGCAAGAAGGCCAAAGAACCAAGGAAGCTGAGAGCTGTGGTACGGGGGAGGGGGTCTATGATGACTCACAGCAGCCAGGTGGGCATGACTGGGCAGGTGTGGCCATCTGAGTGCCACCAGGTGGGCGTGGATAAGTGGGCGTGGCTGGGTCGACGTGAATGATTAGGTGCAGCCCACTCAGGGTGGCTGACTTGGAGCAGCTGACTTGGGGCAGGTGGGTGGGTATGGCCAAGTGGACACAACCGTGTCAGTGTGGCTGGCTAGGGGGTGCCAGATGGATGTGGCCAGGTAGGTGCAGAACAAGTCACTGTGGGCAACTGGAGGTAGAGCCAACTTGGCATCTTGCCAAAACAAAAATCACCCAGAGACATGCTGGCAAACAGGAAGCAAGGAAGCGGCAAAATTTCAAAGACAAAGGGTGGATTCTCCCCCTTTAGAGAAACGGTCATTTTTTCTTGCTACTTTCTGAGCAGAGATTGCTATTTCTGGCAGGGAAGGGAGGGGATGAATGGATTCACATCCCCCCCCCCATTTGGTAAAATGGAGCATTTTTGGTCTGCTATTTCTGCCAGGGAAGGGAGGGGGTGAATGGATTTGCACCACTCCCCCATTTGGTGAGATGGAGTATTTTTTCTTGCTGCTTTCTGAGTAGAGATTTCTCTGCTATGTTTGGGGGGCAGTTTTTTTTTTCCTGGTTCTCATTCCAGCCATTTAATTTTCTTTCCCTGGTTCCATAGGTGGTGTTAGGAAAGTCACTGTGCATAGGAGATGTACCAGTTTGTTTTCTTTGATTTCCTAACTTTATTGGTCTATGTCTTCCTATGCATATCATTCCTTTGGACCTATCAGGCAAGAGATTCTAAGATTACAAGCAAAAGTAGCATAAGAATATAAATCATATGAAGAAACACAATGATAGCCCAAACCTTGTCCTATCCTGCATTGGACAATCACTTGTCTTAAATGGTCTAGGGTCTCCTGCTGGAGCAGGGGGTTAGACTACAAGACCTCCAAGGTCCCTTCCAGCTCTATTCTGATTGATAAAGTGAGAACTTGATATCTATGAGAAGGCCACCCCACTAGATGGCTGAATATTTAATCATCCTTACTAACAAATATAGATAAATAAAACCTATCTTATGTGAAGTTGGCTAGCCCCTTTTATGACTGTTTGCTGATGGGATTTGCCACATTTTATGTTACCAAGTTTCATTGTCTAATTATGCACACTTTGTGAAGAAGTACTTGGTTATGAGATTTTTTGGGGGGGAGGGAGAAGAGAGAATCTACCTTAATTTTTTTTAATCATATGAACTCAATTCCAGAATTATTAAATAGATGTCTATTTGCTATTACCACATCCCATTCATTTTTATATTCCCATTGTTTGCCATTTTGCTAAACTGAAAGCCTCCAAGGTTCTGTCATTTTCAGTTAGGCAAATTAGGTCATTTTTGCTATCCTTTATAAAGTTTCAGTATATACAGTAGGCAATATTATTTATCAGATGTTGGCCATTGGAGTATTATCTAGCACCCCAATGTCAAATCTCAAAGTAACAATTATGGTTTTTTTTGGGGGGGGGAAATCCAGCCTCTCCCTTCCCTACCAGAGATAGCAACAGAGGAAGCAGTGAGAAAAAAAGGAGCATTGCTCTAAAGTGGAGGGGGGAAATCCACCCTTTGCCTTTGAAATTTTGTTGCTTCCTGTTTGCCATCACGTATGATGATTTTTGTTTTGGTGGAGTGCCGAGTTGGCTCTACCTCCAGTTGCTTGTGGTGACTTGTTCTGCACCTACCTGGCCATGCCCACCTGGCACCCCCTAGCCAGCCACATTGACATGGTTGCATCCATTTGGCCACAACCCGGAGTCATCTGGCCTGAGTGGGCTGCACCTAATCATTCGCATCAAATTGGCCATGTCCACTCACACATGTCCACCTGGTGGCACTCAGATGGCCATGCCTGCCAGGTCATGCCCATTTGGCTACAGTGAGTCATCCCATTCCCAGCACAGGGACACCCAAGGAAGTGTAGAATCCCAAAGGAGTATTGGGATCTGCAGGATGTATTTAGTGAGAAAGGCTCTGACATGCTAATATCAAATTCCTTCCCAGGGCTAAACTCCCAAAGCCTATCTTTACTCAATGACTCCACATGAGCTAAATGAGCTTCATGCCTTCATAGAAATAAAACGTGGATTTATTCAACAGACAAGGCCGTGAGTTTTGTTCTGGGAAAACTCTTCATCTGTGTATGGACTATAGAGGGCTAAATGCAGTGTGCTTGGAAAATATCTACCCGCTGCCCTTGGTGAAATACATTTGGCACATTTAGCCAAAGACAAAATCTTCACTAAGTTATGGGAGGCTTGCTACCGAGTTCGGATTAAAGAGGGCGATGAACGGAAAACTGTGTTTAACTGCTGTCTGGGATGTTTCCAGTTCTGGGTTCTGGTCTGCAAGGGGCCCCTGAGGTGTTCATGCAAATGATCAATGAAGTGCTGTATGACTATTTATACAAGGGGGTGCTGGTGTACTTGGATAACATATTAATATATACTGAAACTTTGGAAGAGCATGTGAAATTAGTGTGAGCAGTCCTAAAAAGGTTCCGAGCCACTGAATTGTACGCAAAACTTTCTAAGTGTGAATTTCATCAAGATAAAATTGATTACCTGGGCTACCACATATCCAATTAAGGAGTGGAAATGGACCCAGAAAAGAAGAAGGCAGTACTAGAGTGGGCCCCTCCCCACACCAGGAAGCAGTTGCAGAGTTTCCTGGGTGTTGTCAATTTCTACCAGCACATCATTCCCTCCTTTGCAAAGATTGCATTGCCAATTACCAACCTCTTAAAAACTAAAGGGGAAGACAAATCAAAGCTAAGTCAGCCACTTAAATGGACCATGGAGTGCCAGGTGGCATTTGAAAAACTCAAATAGCTTTTTGCGGCAGAGCCCATGTTGAAGCACCCCAACCCAGCCGCTCCATTTGTGATTCAGTCCAATGCAAAT